AGGTCCTTTTGCACCTCATTAACTCAGGCAACTTCTTTTGGGGAGAAGTAAAGAATAACTAACATGACCAGCACTCCCCTCTCCCCTAGCCAGGACTTACATTATACCCCCTCCCTGCGTAGAGGGGGTCCTCTACTGTCTTGCACTGCACAGTCTCAGTCCTTGTTCCACAGGCTCAGTCCTGGATCTATAGCTTGTCCTTTTCTAATTATGTTTTTTTTTTTCCCTTTTGTGTCGTTCCTTTCCGTTGCAGAAGGGTCTAAAGCCAGTGATGATGTAGGACATTTATTAACATTTATGGGCAGTGATCACCCCACTCCCTATGGACCAATGTCTCCCTTTAGGTTTGTTATTATGGCATTTCCTGTTTTCGAACTTTTATTCTCTGGTCTGTTGTCAGTGAATTGACAGCATTGTCAAGTCCTCCGAGTCAACTGCTGTTGTGATTTAGGGCTATACACAAATTAATGGCATTGAAGTGAACGGCGCAAGGACATAAATCAACAAAACAAAAGAAGAACGCTTACATTGAGAGTTAGTATAACCTGATACTCCCCATCACAGTGAAAAAGACACAGAAAAACAGAGCAAGGGCATATCAAGCACGGTCAACAAGCACCCGCTCCCTAGGGATGTTATGAAGAGAATGGAATCAGAGGAATCAGCTCCATCTCTATTCCCCCTGACACTCTCTGTGGAACCAATAGGCCCATGCTCTGCACTTCATGTTGGCCATTTCAAGAGTGGGTTTGATATCGGTGCCGCCGTAATGACTTCCATATCAAACCATTCCTGGATAATAGTAGGAACTGTGCAACAAAGAATGTCCTTATCAGAGGACGAACTCTCTCAAAGGGCTGTCGGAGTATGTCAAGATTGTGCTGCAGCTAAAGACAGTTCTTGTATATTTCAGACAAGGGAATGTGTGTCTTTAATTATCTTTACGTTGATGTTTTTTTTGTTTACTGTAAATAAGAAGAAACAAAATGCACGTGGAGCAATATTGATTCAAGCACTCAAATTAGCTTATTTATGTTCATCACGTCGCTGTGTTTGGTTGGTGCTTCAGATTTGGCTTTGGCTCAAACCACAAAGCGGCCCCATGATTGGACTGGTCATCCATTGGCAGGAGCCCAAATGCAGCTGGGGGATGCACAATTATGGATTTTCCATTGTTTTTGACAGAAGCTTCCCCAATCTGTTCCTATGGCCTCTACAACCAACCACCACAACACAACCTACAGCAGGGGGCCCACAATTTATCAAACCAAGATCTACTTTAACAGCAACTGTTGAGCCGCAACTAGGGATGTAAATCGGTGACCGTTTTACCTGTGGTTGACCGTCACAGTGTTAACCGGTCAAAGCTGTCGGTTAAAAAAAGAAAAGGGGGAGAAGGGAGGTCTCTTAATAACGCTATTTTAAGCCCTATTTGCACTGTGTGGCGAACGGATCCGTATCTAGCTGTGCGCACCAATGTATTAGTAAACTCCGGGCCGACTTTCATGCCGCACATGCCATATATGCACATGCGCACACACACACTTTCCCCCCCTCCATAGATACATAACATCCACACAAATCAAGGTCTGTCGCGCTCGTCTGTGTCACGCAGCCCAAAGGATCCTCGCAAATACACGGCTTCAGTCAAACCACATGAAACATGTTTGTGCTGATGGTCCTTGGCATTAGATCAGCTCCACACACATCACTTGTATTTAAACTTTAGAGGAGACCGAGCCGTTGTTTGCTGCTAAAAAGCTTTAACCCGCAGCACAGAAGAATGGGAAGATTAAAAAAGCAGTTCTCTGTGCGCAAAGGTGCCTAAGCTGTTGCGAGTTTTGGCGCCGCTGTCTCGACTCTGATCTCGTAGAACGCAGAGCTGCACTTATGAAAAGTACGCGGCTCAAAATGGCTGTTATTTCAAAGAACGTGGAATATTTTAAGCTACGCAGTTAACCGGTTTCAACTGGTTAATGAGGGTCGGTGGTCGCTCATGAAAATTCATAGTTTTTTACATCCCTAGCCACAACGTACCTCTGATATATGTGGGGGTTTTACAATTCAGAATATCACATATTCGCGTGAAGCCCCCACTGAAAGATCAAGGCTATGCTGTCGCTAACAGAGCAGCCATCCTCCACTGGAATCACCATCTGTAGGAGGATCAGTGAAGGGCTAGTGCTCTATGAATTGGGTGCAGCTCTGACCCAAATGGATTAAGGAGAAGAAAAGGGACAATGTAATATCATCAGTCAGTAAGGAGGATGGTGTAACCTCTTATGCTAGAGCAGGGGTCACCAACCTTTTTGAAACCAAGAGCTACTTCTTGGGTACAGATTAATGCAAAGGGCAACCAGTTTGTTACACACTTACATAAATTGCCAGAAATAGCCAACTTGCTCAATTTACCTTTAACTCTATGTTATTATTAATAATTAATTATATTTATCTCTGTGTAAACACTGAAATTCTTAATGACTTCTAAGACAGTCTTGTGAAATCACAATATCCCATTTTAACTAGCTAGCCACTAACATTTTTTAACAAATCATGAATTACTTTGCACCATGTTTGTACAAATAATAACTAATGTAAAATACAAAAGTCAAATCTCAAATTTTTTATTAAATCATGTCACACATGATGGTGATCTCACAGGAGTTTAGAAACCAAAGCGGTCCCATTTACGCTGCTACTTTCTCCTCTTCAGAACAAAAATTTTTTAGATCATTACATTACTGTAGGTTTATGTGACAGTTCTATGGACTCATCGTTTCAACTCATTTAACTGTGATGTTGTGAATAAAGACACAGTTCTTATTATTAAAGTGTATTCAGCACAAACAGCAAAACAATAAGTGGTAAATATCTGAGACGAACATGAACTATTTTCAAGTGCAGGAGGAATGCAATAGCTACAAGTGCAGATTCAAACAAAGACAGGAACAGTCCAAAAGAAACGACTGCACAGTTTATAAGTTATATATATGTTAGATGTGCAACAGAACTCTAGTCCACAGTCTCCGCATATATCAGGCTCTGAGATATGAGCCCAAACTGCTTTTCCTTCGAAGCACGAAGCAGTCTGCTCCGAAGTGCCTCGTCCATGCTCCCTGCAGCCGCTCCATACTTCCGCCCAAAACACACACAAGGACCAATCACAGCGGAGCTTCCTTACGGCCCCGGCTCTGCATAGGCATTTTCGAGGGTGCGCAGCAGGCTACGCAAGGGCCTTGCGGTAATCCACGCGTTGCGCAAGTGATGTCACGTCACCACCGTAAGCACTGCGCCGCGCGACTATACACTAGGCTTGAATGCTTCTATTTGAGCTATTTTTAGAACAGGCCAGCGGGCGACTCATCTGGTACTTACGGGCGACCTGGTGCCCACGGGCATCGCGTTGGTGACCCCTGTGCTATGGCTTTAATCAAAAACCTTTCAAATCAAAGTTTTTGCAAGTCCTAAATAGTTGTAGAACTGGTCTAGACCTTAAACTTGAAAAAGTGGCCATATTTGTGGTTGGTAAAATATTGACATGCATAGTATATATGACTCCTAAAAAGTGCAGAGACATTTTGGTCGACCTTTACAAAATACCCCAAGATAAGCAGTTTAATCTTACGGTTGAAAGGCTAATCTCTGGAAAAGGCTGAGAAAAGAACACAAGCGGCAGAAAAAGAGGACATAATTGCTGTCACAGAGCTAATGAGTCATTCAGACGGAGAACAGCAATGGGTACGAGGCCCGGGCGCCAATCCATCACTTGTCTTTGTCATGTTGACAGAACAAGGACGAACAGGTCGAAAGACTTGAACATGCAGCTGAATCAGAAAAAGGAGCACATACACAAACAGAACTACACCTGGATTTATACTGCACCAAGAGGTATTATGAATGTCTGTTGGTGGTGATGATCCAGGACGAGATTGACACTAATGGGTTACAGGTTAATTTGTATTATGTAGTATTTGGGTTTTTAACAAGCTGTGATTAAACATTAAGATGTATAAAATACATAAAGCTTTGATAAATCTCACTGTGTTTGTACTTATATATTAGTTTAAGGACAGTGGTGATGATCCAGGACACTCAACATTCAACGACATTTATGGACATGGGTCATCTGCTCCTTATGGAACAATGGTCCTATGTGTTTTTTTATCATTGCATTTCTTATGTTTGAACTATTTTATTCTCTCATCTGTGTTGGTGAATTCAATGGTTTTGTAAAGTCCTTCGATATAAATACTGTTGAGATTTAGGTTTGGATTGTGTCATAACTACTGGATGTATTTTCTGAAACGTCTGTGGGATGTATTTGCAGGAAGACCTGAAAATCCACATTGTAAATAAAGGGTAAATAAAGGGGATGCAGTCATTTACAGTTTTTTAAATGCTGCCACTAAAGAAATCAATAAATACATGTTTAAGTATTATTCCTGGTGTGACATTGCTACAAACTTGTCTAATACTTTATCAAAGCTGGTGTACCAACAGAAAGTCCTAAAGTCTTGTAAAATAAGGTTTTTTAACCATCTGTCCACATTGACCCATGTTCATCTCTTTAGAAAACATTTTATTGTTCTGCATACTTGTGGGAAGAGCCCTGTGAGTCACTAATTGACTGAGATATGAGTGAGAACAAGAATGTGTCGTAGTTTTCTTTTTTTCAGGTAAAACAAATTATCTAACGCCTACCGTCGTGAGAATAGGTCTATTTTAGTTTGCTTAAAAAAGACACAACTTTTACAGTTTATTGGGTGCATTTGGAATGTGTCTTTGCTCTATGCACATGCTGTGTTTTGAAGGGCGTGATCTATTCAAAACAACAATTTCTAAATTAGTTTAGAAAAGTAGCGAGTAAACATTTTGTTGTCATGGTAACGAGTGGTCCTGGTTCTACTCTGGGAGGTAAAGGCTTTTAGTTCCCAAACTAAAAGCCGTCATATTGACTGCTCTGTTCTAGTGTTAATCACAGTCCTACTGAGATCTCTCACCGTAATCCGGACTGTTACTGTGGCCTCTCCGGGGGGCATGACCCCGGCCTGGTCCACAGCCTCCACCTGGAAGCTGTAGGAGGTGCCCATGCCCATCGCCGCCAGGTTCTCAAAGTCCATGGTCTGTAGCACGGCCAGCTCCCCCGTGATGGCGTTCAGGGAGAACAGCTGCTTGGCCGACACCGTCTTGATCCGGTACGTCACATTGGAGAAGAGGTCAACGTCCACCGCCTGTTGCACACACACACACACACACACACACACACACAGGAGAAGACAAATCATTATAGAACCGTATTAATCCCATGTACCCCTCTCCAACGTATACACACAGCATGACTGTAACAGGGGGTCCATTCTATTTGTGGAAAGTTGTGAATAACATATAATTTGCATTTGATTATATTATACATAGGATTTTTCATGAGGTAAGTTTCTTAATTATTTTCTTTACTTTTTATGAACCAAAACAAGCGCTCACCCATATTATTATGATTAAAGAGGCATGTAGCAGTTGTGCATTTGACCTTGAGGCTGTTAGAGAGGCCAGCATGGTAGCTCTACATTTAATATTGGTTGTGTTCCAGGATCAATTGTTTTCTATGATGAGAGGGTCCCAAAGCAGACAAATCTTCCCAAACTATTGATTGAATATCCTCCTAGATACCACTATGATGGAAAGTAAAGGCGCTGTCACTACAAGGTAAAATATGCAAAGAAAAAAAATTATAATTTAGTAATATTGCTACTATGGCATGTTATATCTCATTTCAAAGCTTATTTTCTCAAGATTCTCAAGATTTCTCAATTATAGCCTTCTTGGTCTTTGCTCCGGTTTTGCTTAATTCAGAACAAACAGGAACTGAACTAATTTTGTTCAAAATAAATACTCACACCCAAACTCAAGTTATATAGACAAAATCATATTCTCAAAATGCCTTCATAATGTATTTTTCTTTCTTGTTTTAATTACTAAAAAGTAGGGTTTTTTTATTTCATTTTTTTTGGCCCAGACCAGCTATTATTGTTAAATTGAGCCCCCAACCAAGTTCCAGAAATTGTTAGAAAAACCTATGTGTTGGAGAAATTATTTGGAGATAAAGAGAAAAAGCCATAAGTAATGGTTCTGCCCTTCTCATTCTATTTAGTTTTGAGGATTATTAGTAGATTCATACTTAAATCAACAATCCTAATACTCTTTCTAATGGATTGAAATTATTTTCTCTGAATGCTGCAGCCCTGCATATTACTTCTCCCCGATTTGAGCCTAGTGTCTAATAATGTCACTTGCACCTCTCCACCGGCTCTCCCTGTGCACCTCTTTCATAATGCCTGCCTGCAAAATGTCACTCACAATAAGCCAGCACTTACACAACGCTGTGCTCTGTTTGCTACCTCTTTGACACAATGCGTCCCCTGCCACTGTCGGCATTAACATTTGGACCCAGTTAAAAAAAGAGGGGGAAACAAGTCGAAAGGTAAGCCGTGTCAAAATAAAGGATGAAAAATTATCTGGGGCTGGAGCCGGGCTATGTCATCATGAGTAAATACAGCTTTAAGTGTTAGACTATTTGAGTTACGAAATGCCAAGAGAGTTGTCATGGACCAAATCCGAGTGCTGACGGTGTGGAACTGTAATTCGGCCGGTCGGAAGGGTTTTGAAGTTGAAAAATGTTGTACTTGAGTAAATAGAAACAGCTGTTGGGAAATAAAAGGCTTGTCACTGAACACATTTTTACGATGTATTGCCGAATACTATTTCACTACAGCTAAGGAAGAAATATTTGGCTTTACATCTGGTGTCTGATCAGGTGTCTGATCCTCACCGTAATGAAACAAAAAGAGGAAGACGTGCCAAGATTGTAAATATTGCAGAGAGAGCCATGCAGAAGTGATGTCATTAGAAAAATGCACATATTACTACGGTGTTGCTCTAAAGAATCAACTGATGGGATATGCCCAGAACACCTCCCAGGGAGACGTCCCAGTAGTATCAAAACAGATGCCGAAGCCAAGACAATTGGCTTCTCTCAACATGGAGAAGCAGCGACTCTACTCAAAGCTATTCCCATGTGACCAATCTCCTCGTTTTGACCGCTTGTATCTGTGACCTCTCCCTTTTGGTCATTACCCTAAGCTCATGATCATAGGTGAGGGTGGGAACGTAGATTGACGTAAATCAAGAGCTTTGAGTTTCGACGCAGCTCCTGCTTCACCACAACAGTCCAATACAGCTCTGACTGCAAACCCCACTTCACTTCAACAGTGAACCTAGGAGAACTGACTCAATCGCTCACTCCCCCATTCCCACACTGTAAATAAGATACTTTGAGTTTTCCACTTTATGAAGAACCTCTCACCCCCTGGAGCGGCCAAGGAACAATAGCCTCAAATTTGGAGGTTCAGGTCAACTCAAGGCCTTACTATGGATAATCAACTTGAAATCTTCATAAATTAGTTGTTTCCCCTTCAAGTAATTATAGACTTTTCCTGCATTCTTGCGTAATTGCTATTCTTCTCCAGTCCACAAGCTATCTTTTTCTGTTTTCACAAACACTGGTGCACGTCCAGGAGTAAAACTTTTAGAGAAACATTGAAATTCTAAATATTCAAACCACTTACGGCCACCTACGGCAGATAAAAACTTACGGTCAGATTAAGAATGATGGTCCCCACGGGGCTGTTCTCCGGCACGTTCACTACATAATTGGGCAGGGAGAAGGCGGGACTGTTGTCATCGATGTCCGAGACCAGGATGGTGAGGGTCAGGGCGGTGCGTCGTGGGACATCTGCCCCGTCAGAAGCCTCCACCACCAGGCTGTACTCGCTCTGCAGCTCCCGGTCCAGAGGCACCAGGGTGTAGATGGTGCCGTTAGGGCTGATGGAGAACAGCTCTGGGTGATTCACGATACGGTAACGGATCTGACCGTTTGCGCCGGCGTCTGGGTCCGTAGCCTGGTGATTAAGAATAAGAATGAGAAAAGACATAATAATAAGTAATACCGCATACATTTTTGGAATTTACTACTGCCTGCTCTTTACTGCCACTCTACAACTAAAACAGCTGCTTACTCCTGCTACTTCTACACTATTACTACTACCTCCCCTACAGTAGGTCCCATTTTGTTTTGTCGTCTTCATTCACGCTTTTCATGAATCACGCAGCTGCGTGAAACATATTACATCTTATCGCCACAAGGTGGCAGGTTAAGTCCGCTTTAGCTCTGCCAGCGACTTAAACGCACAGGTATAAGTCTGCGTGCAAACGTTATATGCCTAGTAATACTATGTTGGCCGAATGGTTTGAGTTACAGGTTAGGATCCGGGGGATCTGGGTTCGATTCTTGTCTGAGGCAATTTTGGTTGCACACCTTTTGGTTGCTTGTGTGCAATTACGTAACGTTATCAGCTTGTTATCTTCTTTCCTTGTCAAAAGGATTTTTTGCTCACTTCGGGCCTATCAAAACGCGGTTTAAAGTCAAAGGATTGACTCTGTAAAACACTGTACTAACTTACTGCACTGTATTGTAAGTACTGTAACAATACAATTGTATTTTACTTTATTACTTATTTTGGTAACACTTTACATTACGGGCCGGTAAGTCCATGGTACTTACAGTGGTACTTCTAGGTACTTATTGTGGTACTTACAGAGGTACTTACAGTGGTACTTATTGTGGTACTTACAGAAGTACTTACAGTGGTACTTATTGTGGTACTTACAGAGGTACTTACAGTGGTACTTATTGTGGTACTTACAGTGGTACTTCTAGGTACTTATTGTGGTACTTACAGAGGTACTTACAGTGGTACTTATTGTGGTACTTACAGAGGGTACTTACAGTGGTACTTATTGTGGTACTTACAGTGTACTTACTCTGGTACTTATTGTGAGTACTTACAGTGGTACTTACAGTGGTACTTATTGTGGTACTTACAGAGGTACTTACAGTGGTACTTATTGTGGTACTTACAGAGGTACTTACAGTGGTACTTATTGTGGTACTGGTACAGAGGTACTTACGAGTAGGTACATTGGTACTTCTACGGGTACTTACAGGTACTTATTGTGGAGTCAGAGTACTTACAGTCAGGTACTGCTCACAGAGGTGGCTTCTAGGTACTTATTGTGGTACTTACAGAGGTACTTACAGTGGTACTTATTGTGGTACTTACAGAGGTACTTACAGTGGTACTTATTGTGGTACTTACAGTGGTACTTCTAGGTACTTATTGTGGTACTTACAGAGGTACTTACAGTGGTACTTATTGTGGTACTTACAGAGGTACTTACAGTGGTACTTATTGTGGTACTTACAGAGGTACTTACAGTGGTACTTATAGTGGTACTTACAGTGGTACTTCTAGGTACTTATTGTGGTACTTACAGAGGTACTTATTGTGGTACTTACAGAGGTACTTACAGTGGTACTTCTAGGTACTTATTGTGATAATTCTAGATACAGCTGTAACTTAGTAATTCAAGGATACTACAGCATTATTCCTATGTAGTAAATGTGGTACTTCTACATACATACATACAGAGGTCATTTGTAGGATTGTTTGACTATAAAACATAAAACAACATTATGTAAAACAAACGTCTTTATTAATATGGAATAAGTAGCACAGAAAGGACAGTATATATACATTTAATGCATATTTCAAAACAAGTTTCAAGGACAAGGGAAACACTGCAAGAACTAGGTACCCAACCCAAGTAACAAGAATTACACATTAACACACCACCAGTAAGGACTTGGCAGCAAGTACCAGGTACTTGGCAGCAAGTACCAGGTACTTGGCAGCAAGTACCACAGCAAGTACCAGGTACCAGGTAGTAGTACCTGGTACTAGCCACAGACAAAGGACTTGGCCACATACAAATGACTTGGTAATATGTCAAAGACTTCACCATAAGTACCAGTGATAACACCAGTAATTATACAGCAAGTACCAGGTACTTACCATAGGAACTGGCCCATAATAAGACAAAGGACTTACCCATAAGTACTAGTGATAATACCAGTAATTATATAGTATACCATGTACCTACCAGCAAGTACCAGGTACTTACCAGCAAGTACCAGGTACTTAACAGCAAGTACCAGGTACTTAACAGCAAGTACCAGGTACTTAACAGGAGACATTTAAATTAAGTGGGGGAGAGTGTAGAGGCTTGGAAATAGAGCAAAATGATTAACAGGCACCCCTCATTTTTATTTTGTTATTGAGAACTTTATTTTTGTTTGTTTAGTAGCTATTCATGTGATTACTACAATCTCTATATTGTTTTAAGTGCAGTTCCTCCCGTGACCAGTAGTTGGCGCATATCGCGCAGAGTGGGTAGAAAGTAGACTGAGCGCTGCAGAGGAAGAATCAATCCTCTTGAAGTAAACGCAGCTCACAGCATGTGCTCTTGTCTGTACTTTTTATCACAGGTTGGTAAAACGTTAAAAACACATGTTGATGCCAATTGTTAGAGTTACCAGGTGTCTTAGGAGTGTATTGTGAACCGTGGTAATGTGTAGATTGAAGTTTGTGTGATGGTTTGTGTGAATATGTGTCTCGTTTTTTTTATGCTAACCTGCTAAGCTAATGGTCATGGTAGGGAAATCGCGACGTGGATAAACTTGAACCCCACCACTTTATGGTACAAGAACCACATGAGTAGTGGCATTTGTGAACATTTATGAAACTTATTTCATGTAATACTGTTTTGTTGAGTTTATTTGATTGTTTAAACAATTATCAGTAGACAGTATTGTAAGTGCAAAAAAGCACATGGTCCAGTTCTGAGTCTGGTGCCACCTTGTGGACATTTAAATTAGTACACAAGCACCGAGAATAATTGAGACTATTTCTTTGTTTTTTTTTGTAAATTCAAATATTAAAAAACAGTAATTAATTTAATGTAAAAGCTCTTGTTAAAAATGGATTTAGTTCGTGTTATTGTGGATATGGAAAAAAATGTAAAAGTAAATGTACATTTTCTGATTGATTGCAAATGAGGAAGAATCAATCCTCTTGAAGAAAACGCAGCTCAACGCATGTGCTCTTGTCTGTACTTTTTATCACAGGTGTTACTTCACGGAGGCATATGCCCTCTGAACCGCTAGTCAGAGGAGCAACACCAGACAGTAACTATGATTGTACCAAAAGCACAATGATATGAGAGCATAAACGAATTGTCTATGTAGCAACGCACATAATATTACTATAGTAGTAGTGTTACCCAACTGGCTTCAGTCTGTGTTTGAAAGACCGCGTGTGAATGTGGGCCAATGAACCAGTCAGGACACTTTACAAAAGTAGGCCTCAGAATGCTCAGCGCGTTCTGTCATTGTCGCTAATGCAAACTTTCTAAAAAACTTGATCAGATTAACAATATTAAATATTAATATGCTAATAAAGTCGAGGTTGTTAACACATGTTCTGCTTTTAATTATCAGGTCGAGAGAACAACAACAATGAGCACAAAAAAAAGTAAGTAATAATGATGTCCACATGCTGTTAATAAATGCATGGTTGTAGCCATGGATTTATTTATTGTAGGTAAAGGTAAATGTTTAATGAGCACAGGAACTGAACCTTAGTATTTGTAAAATCTTGGCTACAGTCCTGGCTAATAATTTTTCAACATGTATTTTACCTTTTTCTTGCAGAGGCAAACTTTGAACAATGCCATGGCGGTGGAGTGAAGAATGATGACTGAATGGTTTTCTAAAGTCCACAAGCCAGTGCTCTTTTCCCCTGGCTGACAACAGTCATCAAAAGCAGAAGAATCAGACAGAGCATGCATCAAACATGCATGCAAATCTGTCGCCTTTCATGGAAATTCACCATTTTGACGTGGGAAAATATAATTCACATGACTCATCTAAATCTGCAATATAAAAACAGGAGGGGGGAGGGCATAAACTGCACTGGTTGAGCCACGGACAGTAGGCCAATACACTAAATTGCATGTTTACCTTTATTGCCGCTTGGATTCATGAAGTAGTGATGGGCAGCGGGCTAATGCATCAGCCTACGCTACAAAGTTGCATTGACGCAGCGCACCTGTGCATGAGACATGAGCACCGAATCTAATGTAGGTTTTCCAATGATAATTAGTATTGGACAATAGCGGCATGAAATGTGAGTGCAAGCCAACCTATAAAGGTAACGGATAGCTATAATTTACCGTTTGGTGGAGGCTTAACTGACCAGGTAGGGGTGCTCATGTCCCCGTGCGTGCTCTGCGCTCGCTTTTATGAGCAATCGCGGTCAGCGAGGCGTGTGGTCATTGTGTGCTTTTGATGTGATTTATGCTCATCAGAGATGTGAACTTGGCAAATTTACTAAAACTGAACCAAAGTCTACACCGTTGTGGGCTCACAACTATTCAACTATCCTTTTACACCATGTTTGTGTTTGCATGTCGGTTTAAAATAATGGATACACATACTAGATGCTGGTCAAATTTGTTAAAGTCCTTTGTCTTAATATGGGGCCAGTACTATGGTAAGTACCTGGTACTTGCTGTATAATTACTGGTGTTATCATAAGTACTTGTATTGAAGTTATTTGTCTTAATATGGGCCAGTTCCTATGGTAAGTACATGGTACTTACCGGTAAGTACCTGGTACTTGCTGTATAATTACTGGTATTATCACTAGTACTTATGTTAAAGTCCTTTGTCTTATTATGGGCCAGTCCCTATGGTAATTACCTGGTACTTACTGTATAATTACTGGTGTTATCACTGGTACTTATGTTAAAGTCCTTTGTCTTATTATGGGCCAGTCCCTATGGTAAGTACCTGGTACTTACTGTATAATTACTGGTGTTATCACTGGTACTTATGTTAAAGTCCTTTGTCTTATTATGGGCCAGTCCCTATGGTAAGTACCTGGTACTTACTATATAATTACTGGTGTTATCACTGGTACTGTATGTTAAAGTCCTATGTCTTATTATGGGCCAGTCCCTATGGTAATTACCTGGTACTTACTGTATAATTACTGGAGTTATCACTGGTACTTATGGTTAAGTCCTTTGTCTTATTATGGGCCAGTCCTATGGTAATTACCTGGTACTTACTGTATAATTACTGGGTTATCACTGGTACTTATGTTAAGTCCTTTGTCTTATTATGGCCAGTCCTATGGTAATTACCTGGTACTTGCTGTTAAGTACCTGGTACTTGCTGCCAAGTACCTGGTACTTGCTGCCAAGTACCTGGTACTTGCTGCCAAGTACCTGGTACTTGCTGCCAAGTACCTGGTACTTGCTGCCAAGTACCTGGTACTTGCTGCCAAGTACCTGGTACTTGCTGCCAAGTACCTGGTACTTGCTGCCAAGTACCTGGTACTTGCTGCCAAGTACCTGGTACTTGCTGCCAAGTACCTGGTACTTGCTGCCAAGTACCTGGTACTTGCTGCCAAGTACCTGGTACTTGCTGCCAAGTACCTGGTACTTGCTGCCAAGTACCTGGTACTTGCTGCCAAGTACCTGGTACTTGCTGCCAAGTACCTGGTACTTGCTGCCAAGTACCTGGTACTTGCTGCCATTATCGCTCCCACTTTTTTCACTTGTTTACTAATGCAATAAAAGGTACCTGGAATGCCAATATGTTCTCCTTGCCAAACACAATTGCACCCCAAATAGGTATGGTCCGCTTGGATGCACATGCTCCCAGTTTATCCAATTTCCTTTTTGTCTTATTTTATCCCTGTCACCTTATGTAGGTTGAAACTTTGCGTTCTTTCATCTGGTTTGCCGGGGTAAAATGTCTAATAATCAGAAATTGTAGAATTGACCACCTAGAGTTTCTCCTACCATAGACAGTTGTTGTTTTGCATACCCCAGGCCTAACTCTGTTTCTCCAGGCCCACATAAAAAATCCAGCTATAATCCCCTATACACCTACCACCATACTCACCCACTCCCGAGACCTCAACACCTAAAGTCGTCAAGGTCCTATCATGTTGAGAGTACCTGCATGTGAACCCTCAGTCTGTAAAGTCTAACCCATGCAATACCATATTAGT